ATGTTGTGATAATGCGCTATACAAAAATAAATTTGTTGTTGTTGTTGTTGAATTAGGGTTAGGGTTATGCCCATAGAAATGAATGGCGAGTCCTCACAAAGATTTGAAAACAAAGTGTGTGTGTGTGTACCCTCACTTCAGCCACACCCATGCGGTGCCCAGATCACCATCACCACACAGTCAGACTATACTGTACAGTATGAGGCACGGAGCTAAACGAAAAAGCTGCCACCTTTATACATATACACACATATACATAGAGTACCATGCAAAAGTCTTAGGCAGCCAAAGAAAATGATGTTTAAATGGTCCTCATATTGAGGTAAAAGTATGTGATTAGGCCGGCAGCTTAGCCATTTCAAAGCCTCTGCTAAAATCGGCTCATTATTTGCAGCATCCATACAATGCAGCATGTATTTTTTGACTCGACCACTAGCATATTCCTCCTATTGCAATCAATTGTTCATTGACTTTTTTAAAAAACGAATTTATTACTAAAATGAGTTGGTGGCAACATTTAACAAATATATGGAATGGCTAAAGTGTCCTTCCGGACAGTTTTGGGAACTGAAGCGGTGTTCATCTAGCTGACCAACTAGAAATCAATAACTTTTTGGAGAACAGTAGAATTTTTACTAGTTTTTATTGTGTTACTCTTAATTTTCATATGCTCTAATGTTAACTTGTTTTTTTTTTTTGTTCTGAGCAAATATGCACTTACTACACAGATAAATAGGTTTCAACATTTCTTTTGACTGCCTACTTTTGCACAGCACTCTCTCACTCTGTGTGTGTGTGTGTGTGTGTGTGTGTGTGTGTGTGTTTGTGAGTAAAGGCGTAAAGCATCGCAAATTATTTCAACTGTCTGGAGAACTTCAGTGTGCAAAATAACGTTTTAAAGTATATTTTTAAACATGGTTAACTCACTAGAAGATCCACATGTACAGAATTGTCGCTGTCACTGTCGAGTTTAAAGGGTCTCCATAGCCGTCCTCAGCAAACAGCGCGCCAGAGTACAGCGAGTCCCCGGCCCGCGGCCCCCTCCCCGGTAACGGAGCGCCGTGCCGGGCTGCCGTCGCTGGTTCCCGCATTTGGCCGGACTCTTGTTTACCCGACTTTTTGCAATGCAAGATCCGCGTAAGAGCAGTTACGCTTGTTTGTGGCAGCAGGTTACTGACCGCGCAGCCGAATAATGATCACGGGCGGAAAACGGCTCCGATATTCAAGCAACACAAGAAATGTTTGCTAAATTTTAATTTAAAGTTATATTACATCGTTAAAGTTACACCGATAAATGTGAAAACACATTTATGGAATAATATGTGTTATACCTATAGCCTACATTTATAAATCGGTTCTTTCCAAAATACGCTTAGTTTTACCGAATTATACACGGATATCCTATTTAGGATCTTGGCGGGTTAAGTGGCTCACACCGGCACCTTCGCCTCTCTGCTGCTGTTTGGTGCTGCTCGGTCACCGGGGCGGATTCGAGGACCGTGGGATGCCGAAAAACGCATCCCTGCCTTAGAATGCATGCCGGTGTTCCGACGAGTTGAGCTTTTAATGGTTTTTTGGGGGTCAGGGGTTTTTTAGGGGTTTTGGGGGTTAGGGTTTTAGAGGTTTTTTGGGGGTTAGCGTTAGAGTTTTACGGGTTTTTTTGGGGCTATTGATTAGCACTACGGTAGCCTTACTCGACAAAGTAGCTCAACTCGTTTCAGATCAGCGACCAATCGGTCATTTAGAGACAGGCATGCATTCTACGGCAGGGATGCCTTTTTCGGCATAACAGGGGTATTCGGTCTTTAACACACAACACAAATCATCACACACACACACACAGTCTGACACCAGTCACCAAAAATGACCTGGCTACATGAAAAATACAGCAACACATATTTACACAAAAATACGCTTCTCTGTTTAATTCATAACACAGAACATACTGTGTCTGCCTCTATACGAGGGAGAGTGCGTTTTGCACCCGAATACCCCATTATTCAAATTATCATAGTATAATAATTATTTAAAAACTATTAAAACTTTGTTTAAAAACTCTATATAAAAATTCTATTAAAACTTTCAACAATGTGATTAACACAATATATCTAAACCATCTTTTACACCCATTTGAACTATGAACGGCAGAGAGTGTTAAACTCGACAACTAATGTCAAAATCACAATGTTTACCGTGTTCTCAGAATGTGGAACAACTTGTTTTAAAATTCTGTTTAGTTTCATGGGTCCATTCTCTAGTAACTTTGCTCTTTTTTGACTGTCATTTAAATAGTACGTAGTTTGGCTCCATTGGTATTTTGTATGGGTTTTGTTAAAGCCCTGACATTATGGGTTTCGATTGTCAGTGACATCTCTGTGAGAATAAGGTGTTAAGCTACACAGCACCTTCTGTTGCAGTTTAAGGAAAGAGCGGGACAGGAGCAACTTGTGAGAATTGAGGACACCAGCAGGAGTGACAAGTACTGCAATGATAAAGGAGAGTGAAGCGCACCCCCCAGGCCCTGGAGGGGGGTCTCCCCACCTCAAGCTAGCTGCCTAATTCAAACATCCAGCCATAAACCCGAAAAAGCAATAAATTAATAAACAAAAAGTAAAAATGATAATAATGATTAAGCAGCATAGTATCATTAAAATACGCACACCAACATCGGTGTGAAGTGCTGGCCCCCCCATTCCCCCACCACTCCTGGTACATCACTATCAGGTAACAGCCCACGGACGGCAGACACACACTGATCTTGGCAAACAGGTCCCTGGCACTCACTGTTACTGTTTTCAGAAACTTGCAGAAAAGCGTTAATCCTACTTAGAAAAGCGAATGGCCTTGCAGCTGTCTGACTGCTGCATGTGGTACTCAGAGTGCAGGGTAACAGTCCTGCTTTTCAGCCGACGTGCCAATCCCTGTTGCACCTCTTCTTTCCTGAGACGCAACTCCGCAGTACACACCATTCATAACAGCCCTTCGACAAAAGTGTCCCGTAAAAGATGAGTTCACGATTTCTCCCCATTCACAGAAAAAGCTGACAGTCATTCTGACAGCACAGCATTAAGTAGGTCAGAACCCCATAGCTCTAAACATGTAACTATACAATCCCCGGGGGGGCAGCTGGATGGCCCTTACCGTATGGAGTGATCCCTGTAACGCCACACACGAGCTTGTCAGTCCCTGTCAGGCGTCGCTGAAGTCGGCGGCCGTTTGCTGGGAGTTGACTGGAGCCTTTCTAACAGATGGGGTGATCCATCACAGCTCAGGAATGCCTCTGATGAAACATCCCATTTGACACACACACCTCTGCCTCGATGGAGATCGAGACACCTACTCTCTCCCGGGGCAGTCTCTGTCCGTCTGCTGTCTGCTGTGGGGGGGGGGGGCAGCTTTGGGCTGTAGTTGACATACACACCTGCTCACATAGTGAATTGTTTGGAAGTGTAGTATCTGTGAATACCTGGGTTTGTTTCTGTTCTATAACACTTGTACACCGGATTTAACCAAACTTACCATTTTACCTCCATATTTCCTGTTTACTTTTTTCCTTTGATTTTAGTTAGTTCTGACCCAGCCGCTGTTTATGAAACACACACTGTGTTTGACCTAATTTTAAGACATACACAAAATTCTCCCTTTTACATCATGCCTTTCTTTTACCAAAAATTCATCTATAAGGTTTGGAAAAGCAGCTTTTTAAAAAGGAGAATCACGCCATCAAATGTCAAAGAAGCTTTACTTCCGCACAATCAATACTGAATTTTCTATTCAGTAAAACCTAAATCTCACACAGCATTGCAAACGCCAGTAAAGGTTCAGAGTTTCCATACCTTCCAGGCTGATGGACGAAGACATCCATGGATGGAGTGAAATGAGTGAGGGGTTAAAGGTCGTGCCAGGAGAGGCTCAATAGGAGAACGCAGCACATTGGGAATGTTCGTTGATGTGGAAGAAGAGGGAGAATATGGTGAAAGCAGCAGCCACCATTATGAACATCACACTGGGGGCTTGAGGCTGCGGGGGGCAATCTTATCCACAAAAGACTGGTGTGTGTGCCGGTTTCTGGGTAACCTTTAGGTCAGCTGTTCAAACCCAGGTGTGAGGACTCTTCAGCCAATCAGTCCTGTAATTAGTAACCTGATTAGGGAGTAGCAGTGAAATCCCGCATTCACACTGGCCCTTTGCGGATAAGCTCACTCAGCCCTGTATTAGACTGTGATCTACAGCACCAGTCAAAGGCCTTTTCACACCACAGGATTTTACTGCTTTTCCATTTATTTCATAGACTATATATATATAAAATAAGTGTCCTTCATAACATGGAAAGATAATGTAACAGTGCATGTCTGACATCCTATTAACTGGTTGTGTGGTGATGGCAGAGTCAGATTCTAGGCCGTCCTTTAACTTTAATTGCACTAGTTAACTGTTTCATCCCATGACACAGAGCAGTATTTAATGTCCCTTTAGACAGAATGCCTCAGATTTTCTCTGTTGTTATAATTGCTACAGGAGGTTATTTTGATGAATCAAAGATATGACATTTTCTTGCAAATAAAGGTACTGAAATGATGAACATCCTGTGAATGTTTGCAAATAACATTTGCTAAAAATACACACAATAGTAAGTGAGTAACATGCAAATATAGAAAGCCTCAGTGTGTGCACAAACTTTTGACTGCTAGAGCAAGCAGGGGTACCCAGAATGTGGGGTCACCCACTGCAGTTCACCATGATGACATGTGACCTTAACATCCTTGCAGTGTTATTTTTTAAATATTTTTTATCCCTGACTCAGGAAAAATGTTGCTGACCAAATACGCCGGGCCGTGCCAAACCATGCCCGTGTTTACAGGCACGCTGCTGCACGCTCCCAACACGTGGACGTCCCCACATTCACCACTGCACCTGCACACCCAGCCCGTCCAAAGTACTCGCTAAACAGCACCCGTGGAGAAAGGCACACGAACTCCACACAAAGCCACAGAGAATATCAAAATACTGAGACTACGAGTTTTACTGCCTACAGAACAGGTTTTGATTTCCTGGTGTATTTAGTTTCAGATAGAAAGATTTCAGGTTTTTTTCACTGAACGGGATAAATCCCTCACACAGAAATATGAGCCACATAAGATCATACCGGAAAGGGATTTCTTACACCTGCTTTGACAATGCATGCCTGCTTCACTTAGTTTCAGCTTCTTAAAATGTGGCAGGTCCAGATGGAATGTGTTTATGACTACATGGGTGGGACTTCCTGCTTTGAAAGGCCAATAGGAAGACAGAGTGAGTTGGGTTTCTTAAGAGGGTGACCGCCCCTCTCTCTGGCCCCTTCCTCCTCTTCGGCCTTCCTTGAGAAATCTTTTCCTCTATTCAGTACAATGCAAGGCCATCCTCTCCAGCTCCCCCGTCACTCCTCCCCCACGTCACTCCTCCCCCACGTCTTACAGATGCCCTCAGGCCCTCGTCACCCACCAATGTCGCCGACAGCTGCAGTCGTATACAGACTGTCTGCCCAAGAGCAGCAGAGGACAGGCAGCCACGCCTGATCTAAAACAAACTGCATTTGGGGGAAAAGCAGATTAATGACACAGGCGTCATGGTGACGAGAGCTTCAGACTGGGGCTGTGAAATTCAGCAGAGTACAGTTTTGCTTGTATCATCCATACTGGTAGGATTGCAAACCATAGATATTCTTTGGACAAGATGATAAGCTGACAATGAAGGTGGAGGCGGGGCTTGTACCAGGGGCGAAAACATGGATGCGGGACGAATGCAGAGAAGAAGCTGGGAATGAGAATGAGCGTTACAGAGAGGGATGGACAGGTGGGCCCCTTATTGGTCGGCGGGGGGTGATGCGGTCAAACTGTGACCAGCCAATCAGCGAAGGACGAGGCTGAAGGAACCTCAGGGTGCCGCAGTGACCTCAGCCTCACCGGCCAGGCGATTCCTCACAGTGACACAGTGGGTCCCTGAGTGATTTAGCCTAATTTCTGGTAATATCTACAAGGCCAGTGAGAAGGACCAAGCAAAACCACACCAGCAGCTAATATCTAAAGAACAGAGAAGCTAAGGGGAGCACAAGGTTACCAAAACAAACCCAGGAAGTTATGGGGAAAAAAGAGGGTCTTTGAAGGCCGCGGTATGTGGCCTGTTACTGTGCACCGTTAGTGCCTGCATTGTTCAAGCCACTTCCTGTTGGGTTCCATGGGATTTAGCAGCCCTGGTCCTGCTTGAAATAGCCGATCAACTCTTACGCCACAAAGCACCCCATGCAACATGTATGTAGATGTTAAAACTTACTCTGGCTGGGTAATGCACACCACAACTTGAACAGGCACACAACATGGAGACAGCAAGATGGATCGGGGGATGTCGTTTGGGTTTTGGGGGTTTAACGAACTAGGAGAGAGAAATGAAGAAGAAACGCCCAGCAAAGGGGGGGCCAGACTAGGAAAACAGGGTGGGCACCAGATCGAGAGATGTGTCACGTGACCTGGTGTGCATTATCACCAGCGAACAGCCCCAAGGCGTCGGTGAGCTCTCCATCTTACATCTAGTTAAAGGTTCAACACCATACACTTTACCCAGCAGCCCTCGGGGAAGGTGTCAGTCTCCGTAAGACACCATGAGCTTGGATGCCACCTGAAAGAAATGTACCTCAGACATATTTGGTGCCAGAATTATTTAAGTCAAGTTTCAAGGGAGATTGAAATCCTACTGGACCGGAGCCCAAACGTGTCACAGGTTCATGGGATGTTTGTATGCTGTGAATCACTGACAGGCCCAACCAACAGGGAGTGTAATTAGTGCCGCTGCTTTAAAACTGACAGTCCCGTACAGTACACAATAATCCAGCCTCCAGGCTTTTCTGAAGTTTCTCCCATCAGTACTGTACCTACTCATGTTTACATATTACATCACGGCTGTCGGCTCAGCCATAACCCAAAACGCATGGCCATGTTTGTGGCTTCTTTAAAATGGGCAGTTGGGGTGCTGTGTCGTGTCGGCTGTGGGGCTAAGCGCCTCCCCCTGAAGGAACCCTACGCAGTCGCACATCAGCGCCTCCCCCTGGCAGTGTTTGGCCCAGGCAGTGAGAGTAGTCAGCTCATTGTGTCAGCAGGCCTATGAGATCAATGCCAAAACCCTGCATTTCAGTCTAATGAAAGCTAAATTGACAGTTATCTGGAATGTTCCAGAACCACATTTTTAGATCAGGCATGCAAAGCCCAGTGAATAGAGGGTCTCCAGAACCAGGGCTGACGAGCAGCTATCTGACATGTCTATAGATTTAAGCAAAGCACGGCAAACTCACCTCTGTAGGCAAACTCGAGCTTGCTGGCCCTGTCCTCGACAGCCAGTCCTTCGCCGACTATTGGCTTGCTGTGCTGTAAGTAGCTCTCCATGGATTCTTCTTCAACCAGACATGTTTCTCTGGGGAGCTCATGCGCCTGCCTGGATTTGGGCAGTGCTCAGTGCTAAGCTTGACTACAGCTCTGTATTGAGTTGCTGAATTGCAGAGGTAGAGAATGTCCTTAAATCAGTTGGTGTTAAATGTTGGTGAAATGGTTACCCTTGGCACAGTAAACTGATCCATGGTATGTCACAACAAACCTCAGTGCTGTTTGCATCCAATTGCTTAACACTAAGCTACTAAGTTTCTATACAAGTACTGTGTAGCTGTCTGCTAGTAACACAGCACTCAGACGTCTGGAGATAAAAGTGCCAGAATGCCCAGCTGAGGGTTGTTCACCTAATTAAGACCTTGCCCAAACAAACCACTTATCTTTGCATTGGGTGTGTTTTTCTCTTCAGTTGTAAGCATTAGTCAACGTTCTGGCAATGACTAAAGGAATCTGTCATGCAGACAAAAGAGGATCACAATTCATCCACAGCGTAATGCCATGGATTAATATCAGTATGAAGAACCTCACGCCTAACTGCAACAACAAAGATTAATCAAATTAAAGTTTTGTGAGATAATCCATCCATCTTCAATCTTCCAGCTACTTATGCGGTGCAAGGTGGTTGGATAATCATTTATATTTCCAATAAATAAATAACTATTAAACTAACTAAACTACAACTGTGTACCCCTAAAAATCACCATCAGCCTGCGTTTCCCACCACACCGATTACAAAGACCCAGAGCATTTGGGTGAATCTCAATACCAAGACCGCAAAATCCATACTTGTGGACAAGAACAACATCCGAGGATTTTTTCCGTATTGCAACTGATCTTCGGCAATGGAAGATGGTGTAATACAGATACACGAGACCACAAGTACGGTCAAGTGTGCATATTGAGATTCACTCCTTATCTCTGGCTACAAACCGCGTCTCCTCCAATGCGTCACTTCCGTATCCGACCCTCTGCCGGCGCTTGTGTGTTTTTTTTCCCCTGTGTCTGCAGCTGATTGAAGGTGAGTGGATTTTTGGTTTCCCCAGTCTTTTTTGCAGACTTTGTAAAAGTTTTCCTGGATGTGTTTTCGAGTGAATCAACGCATTATATGCCCTGCATTAGTGCTGCGGGTGGTTAGCATGAGCGTCACGAGCAGGACGCGTCTGACCTTGGCAGCTTTCAGAGCGTTACTCAACATTGGGTCGGTGGTCCCAGCGGCTAGGATCGGAGCACCTACCCTGCCCGTCTGCTGGCAGCTGAATGACTTATAAAAATACCCAATTCTCAGTGAAATTACCACAATAACAAGGTTGATTGCCAAAATAATGGGTTTCAGCAGCTGTCAGTAGCCGAGGGGATTTATGGGAAGTGGAGTTTTAACCAACGAGCAAAGACGGCAGGCACTGAGCCAGGTGTGTGTTCGCATGCTTTACGTCTGATGTCTGACCCGATAAAGGATTCTGCGGCGGTCAGGGACACTTCATTCCCGTGTCCTCTGCCTTAACAACTACAGTTCAAAAGAGTCATTAAACTGAAACCTGTACGCTGTGATTTCCAGGGCAGTCATTCGTACCGCCTCCTCCTCCTCTTCCTCTTCAGCAACTAACTTGTGCCCCCTGTTTCCAGGCTAGGCGGATGTCCGGGCGCCGCGCTGCACTTAAGGCCATAGACTGGGTCTCGTTTGCAGAGAGGGTACCGCCCAATCAGAAGTCTCTGTTTAATGCCCTGAAGACACGGAGCGATGGCCTGGCTGCTAGGTCAGGCTGCCGGCACCCCTGACCTTACTCAACCCCCACACTGTCAGGATATACCTATGAAGAATGCACACTGCTAATTGGTACAGCTTTCTGCTTTCCCTCAGTGTGAGTGTGTGTGCACATATATATGTATATACACATGTATATATATATATGTGTGTGTGTGTGTGTATAATATACATACACATAACACATATATAACACATATATAACACATATATATGTGCACACACACATTTAATACACATACATATAGATACACACATACATATTATTTATATGCACACACAGTCCTGAAAGCAAAAGCTAAGGTGTTACACATGAAGTGACCAGTGACTATGCGTGTATGGTGTGTGTGTATCCATCCATCCATCCATCCATTATCTGTAACTGCTTGTCCTATTCACGGTCATGGGGGGTCCAGAGCTTATGTTATGTTATGGGTGCAAGGCAGGGAACACCCCAGGACGGGGTGCCAGTCCATCACAGGGCACAGCCACACACACCATTCACTCACACATAGGGGTGCCAGTCTATCACAGGGCACACTCACACACACCATTCACTCACACATAGGGGTGCCAGTCCATCACAGGGCACAGTCACACACACCATTCACTCACACATAGGGGTGCCAGTCCATCACAGGGCACAGTCACACACACCATTCACTCACACATAGGGGTGCCAGTCCATCACAGGGCACAGTCACACACACCATTCACTCACACATAGGGGTGCCAGTCCATCACAGGGCACAGTCACACACACCATTCACTCACACAACCTATATATAAATATTTAAATGGTTCTGGGTGAGGTGTGACATGAATGTAAATGCCATGGCCTGATCCGAATGGGGGTAAGTGAGGGCTTTCTGGGTGTAAACACGATGATGTCTGTGTTACATTCCTGCCTGACTCGTGCCGGACACTCAGTCTCTTCTCAAAGTGCCGCCTTGTGGTTCATTTTGCCTCTGCCCCGCAGGTTGGCCTCACTTCCCGAAAAACCCGCCACCATCGACTGGAGCTACTACAGGAGGGCAGTGGCCAAGTCTGGCCTGGTGGACGAGTTTGAGAAGAAGGTATGGATACCACAGTGTAAAGACATGGGGACGTGGTGTGTCAAACTGAAAAAAGAACGTAGGAATCTAACCTAAGCATTTAGGAGCTTGTCCATCACTCCCAAGCTGGACACCTTTATCCCATAAAGTGCAGCTTTTCCTGTTGGGGCTGGCTGGGTTACATCACCCGAGTCTCTGCTTGGGACAGAGCTAGCATTCATTAAGCCCAATAACATGCAGTCACCCAGACCCACCCCTGCAGCGGCTCACACCAATGAGGAGGCGTCACATGACTGACCGGTTTTCTCAATTACCCCTTTCTGCATGAGGCTTTGATCTTTTTTAGTCATCAAACCAATTTTGTTTGTGACCGGTTTGGTACTCTTGTGATTTTTTTTTTCTTCTTCACTTGGTTTACTTTTCAAACAATTTAATAACTAGTAATTAACGTCCTTTCCATGAATTAATTGTAGTCTATTTATGTTTGGAGTTTTAATTGTCACATACACAAAAATACATTGTAATGAAATGCTTTTAATCTTGCTGGCTGGATTGTGCTCAAAAGGAAATATACAATTCAAAGAAAAATAAAATGAAAAGGGAAATAAAAACAAATAAAATGAAAATAAAAACAATAGAAATAATACTATAAAGACAATAAAAAGTAATGAGATCAGTTACTGTATTTCTGTTTTGAAATAAGACACTTTACACTGGGCTGGTGTAAAACGAGTGCTGAGGAACCGTGTAAACTGCTGGCTGACAGGAGCCCTCATCCAGATGGAACAGCCGGAGGCTGCAGACTTGTTCTCAGCCTCTTGTGGTTCAGCCATTTGTGGGCAAAGTGAAAACACAGTAGAAATAATTCATGGAGACATAAATCACATTTTTGAAGCTTTACACATGGTTTCACTGTTACAGGTCGAGTTCCTTTTCTTTTAGGGTGACTAAGGACAAATCGCAGTTAGTTCCTGAACGCATGTTTACCGTGTGATTCAGTCAACATCTGAGATTAAGCACAAAGGTTAATTAATGAGAGTAAACAGATGCCAGGTGTTCTGACGTAAGACATTTATCATATATTAGAATCCAGCAAAAATTCCCATATTGTCTAAATCTCATAGTGTCACAGCTGGGTGTGACCGCTGCCCCGACTCGGGTGGTGGGGTAGGAGAAGCTCTCCATGTCTGTGAAATAAGATTAGGCGTCTTGCACTGACATGAGGTCGTCCTAGTGATTTTCTGCCCAAGAGCACATGTGTAATTGGATGGGAGTCTCCTGTTCTGATCTGTATCTCGTCTTCCTCAATAATAGCCAGAGAACATACTGTTAGGGTTATTTTTGTGCTAATTCGGCTCTTGGCTCAATGAATGGATCTAGTTTGTCACATTAGTTAGTGCCCTTGACTGTGTGTTGGTGTTACATCATATAAAATAAGGAAACTCCCATATTACACTATGACCTCATAGAACAAAGGACCTACAGTTCATTCAGTTAAAAACATTATTTAACACCTAATAAAGAGCACAAAACTGGCAGGTCCAGCTATCGATACCAGCTCCACGGTTTTTGGAGTACACCCAAGTCGGCTATCCTCGTAAACCCGCCTGTTCCCTCTTCCACCCGCAGTTTGCCGCCCTGAAGGTTCCGGAGCCCGTCGACACGCAGACGAGCAAGATCGGCACCCAGGAGCAGGAGGCAGTAGGTGTCACTGCGTCGTGTGTCACTGCGTCGTGGGGCATTGCGGCGTGGGGCATTGCGGCTCGCCGCATTTGGTCCGCTGCACCATCACCATGTATCCGATCGTTTTCGTCTGTCTGACAGACACCTTTTCCTGGCCTGCTGTGCTGCTCACAATTTCACCATATACTGGGTTGGTCAAGCAACCCTCCCAGTGGGATCAATTAAATCTAGCTGAACCCGTTTAAGAGCCCCAGGTCACTCGAGGCCCCAGGTCAGCCCAACGAAACCTTTCGCTTATAGCCAGTCTTACAGCATCTCTCTTCCCAGTTCGACTCGTTTAAGGGTGAAACTGCTGTATAATGTAATTATTGCAAACGCTCTATGTGTGTGTTTGTCTGTGCTGTGTTCCTTCTTCTGAAATAGCGCCCCCTGCTGTTGAATTATTTTAACCTTTGACTTATTTGTTCTTTAGAGCAAAAGTGCTGTAGCCTACATCCAGGAGTCCAAAGCCCGCATCGATGTCTACGAGAAGGAGGTGAGGTGCCCATGGCTCACACGTCCCTCTGGCACAAACACGGCCCTGTGCCGTTGTCATGCCAACTGCATTTCACACCGGTCAGGACCCCTGTGCCAGCAGCCCTGTGTCCTGCCTGCTGTGTCTCACAGGATTACTCTTTCCATGGCTTGTGAAGATTGAGCGTGCCGAGTCATTGCAGTCGGTCGCCATCGCTTCCTGTTTACGATGTGTCACGCGTCCGTCTCGCCTTCTTCGCAGCTGGAGAAATTTAAGAATATGATCCCATACGACCAGATGACCATAGAGGACCTCAACAGCGTCTTCCCTGAGACAAAGCTGGACAAAGTCAAGCATCCGTACTGGCCACACAAGCCCATCGCCGAGTTGTGAGCCGGGCGTTGCTGTGAGCCGGGTGTCGCTCGTACGCAGCCTCACACAGCTGCGCCTCTTCCTCCCTGTGGGAGCAGTCTGTGCTTCCTCTCTTCATCATAATAAAAAAAAACTTCTGCGTTTATTACCAGTCTGTTTTTTAAACTGAAGTCCCCAGAATATGCTGTTGTGGAGTTTAACATAGTATCTTGTCATACTGCTAACTCATGGTGTCCGCGGGGTTTTAAAAAGTATTAAAAGGTAGTAAATCACATAAGCAAAAATTAAAGCCATTAAAAAGTATTAAAAGGTATTACACGCAAATTTACGAGGTAGGCCTATTAAATTTTAGATTTTTTTAACTACAAATTGTCCATTTGTGTTTTAAAGTTTATCTGCTAAATTTCTCGCAAATTATTTTAAAAGTGG